AAAACGCAAGTGAGAGGAAGATTATACATTGACAGGTAATAATGACAGGTCAAAAGGTCATAAACAGGAAATGGGGTGAACCTGAAGGTCCAGAATCAGCACGAACTAGAGGTCGACATGGGTTGATTCAGGAAGCCGAAGATTGCTTGAGCGAGTCTATGAAACCTGAAATCTCCAAATTCTTGTTTTGCTTTACAACCCAAGGTCAAGATAGTTTATCTTATTCTATCAGATCCAACTTGTCAATAATAATACAATCAATTCCATGATAACAGCTGTTCTTTGCCGAACATTTTTGTCAAATATTGGTGTCTACTATCAACTTCAGGAACTCTTTGAGAGCTGTAGTCAATAGTCAGTAGTCAGTAGTCTTCCTTCTCCTTGGTACTGAATTGCCATCCTTGAAACAGTTATGTTGTAATCGTTTCAGTATCGAATGACAAAAACATTTTATTTAGTTCATTTTTGTAAGTTGTTAATAAATTGAAAACAGTTCAAGTTAAGAAGCAGATTTTCAATTGCTTTTCAAATTACATGTGTGACGTATTGTACTTGAACTCTTGTACCTTGTCACATTTGACTGTTCGCAGGTAAGCCGCGTGTCTGACATGAAGTTCCGACGCGGTTTCCATGGCGCCGCTGTTGTGGAGGGGAAGATTTACGTCACAGGGGGCGTGGCCACAGGCGACACTGCTGCGCATGACACCATCGAGTGTTACAACCCCAGTACAGACACTTGGTCCATCTCTGGGAAAATGATGGGGCCGTTATCAATGCATGGGTGTGTGTCAATCTGCCGTTAGATTGTCCTGTACATTTTTTCTGTTACATCATACATGTACAACGAATCATATCCATGTATACTTATTTGAATGATTTTTGTATATTGAATTTACAAAAGTCAGATCTTGGAAGAATCTGATACGTCGAAACAATCACGTTATTTCGATAAGCGGTTTCATGGTTCCAACTGTGCATGCACGGCGTGATTTACAATACAAAACATTTATAACTTAAGGTGGATTATGTAAGAGTGATCAGGACGGTTCGTCAAAAAAGAGCATTAACCATGTCTACCCCGCTTCTTTGTTATTATTTCAGAAGATCATAATGTTAATTACATTATACAATGATTTACCGTTAATTAGAACTCGGTAGAACTGGAGATCGTTTGGTTCGTTCCTAATTTAGAATGGGTGAATATATCTACCTTCGCATAGCAGTCTGATAGGTACATTATGTTACTTTGTCACATGTTGGCGATATTGCAGGCCGAGTGATCAAACATGATGAAACTGTGGTCTTTACGGTGCCCCATTTGGAACCTTAAACGCTAGTTGAGTCAGGTGATTCCCTGTCTGTATTGCGGTGCACATTTCTACAATGTGTGATATTAATACTATTTTACGATGTTGTTTACTAGTTACATGTATTTTGTCGAAATTAGAAAAGAATATCCAAGAAGAAATGATGGAAAAATATGACCCTAATTTCTGGCCGTGACTTTTTCAATTGAAAAAAAGGACTTCTGCCATGGTTTCCAACAGCTTGAGCGTTTAAAACGTTCGATCAAAGTTCAATTACGTAAAGAAATAAAAGGTCTCCCTGTCTGCCAGGGTAATCACATAGTGAATATCGAACATGGTTTGATTTGTCATAAAAAAATACCACAATTCCTCTCCGGAAAAGACTCGATAAAGGTTACACACATTAGGTGGAACATTGAGTGACAGACGAATCTTCTTGATCGGTACCTAACGTTGAAACGGAATATATCTTCGTACATTGAGAATATTTTATTCCTTTACTGGCTAATTGGAGTTGTTATGTTGATTAGTTGGAGCGCTTCTCTTGATTGTCTCTTTTTCGACGCCAAAAGAGCTTACTCCATACCTGCAGTAACAACAGATACTGTGCTTCATTATGCTAAACAATACATGGCGATGTCCCTCCACTGGAACGAGTAGGCGGGTAATGCCATATTTGATGGACAGCTAAACTATGCTAAGTCGAGTTCTGCGCGCTTTCTGCGGCTCTTTACCTACATAGCCTTTACCCTTCCTTTCTTGGATTACACGCAACGTTTGGAAACGCGTAAGGATTGGCATTATCAATTTACAAGGTCACTTGGTCAAAACACTGTAACAGTACAGGTAATGTGAATTTTAAAAAAGGCGTACTTTAGAGGATTTACCTGGCTTTACTGTTGATCGGAACGCGCGCAATTAAAACTATATCCTAGCAAAGACTTGGAAACCCCAAAATAGCAAAAAATAGAAAAATTTGCAAAAGGAAGAAAAACAACTGCTGAGAAACAGGAGCTTAAAGGCCACCAGATTGGAAGCTGTGTGGAGATACATACATGCACCATCGCTGTTTAAAATTACTTCAGTACGTTCAGTACGTCTCAGTAGCTATAGCCTGGGCGATGTTTCAACAGAGATATGTTGTACTGTTCGATGTCTGTATTTAATAGCAGCTTCATACTGGGCGCAACCTTATAGTTTTCAACAAAACAGTCGAACTACATATTGGATATTTTAGATACAATAATATATGACAATGGAAGGATATCATAGCCACTTGATTTTCATATGAATACGTTGTGATAAATATGTGTGCCACGTTCAGCTAACAACATTATTGTTTCAAAAATGTATGCAGTTGCTTCATTTATTGGATTTCTAACCATCAACGTCCTAAACTACATAGAGAATGTCGATTATTCATATCTGTTAAAGTTTAGAACTATGTTCGCTGTAGTCTGTGTCTGATAGCAAGTCCTAACGAACGTCCTTTCCAGAAATCCATGACGTGCCCTGGCCGTGTGTTTAACATCATGTCATCGCAGGTTCTTATGTACGACGGCAGACTCCGACTTGACTGTCCGAACTGGACCGTGTGCAGCGCAGGCCGTCTCGGCAGGGACATCGCCAGAACTGCCGCCTGCTCTCCATCGGGAAGGGTGTCCGGTTTGACGCCATGTGGCACTCCTCACCAACCCCGCCCAGAGGTTTGCAGACGTGCATGGCAGATCCCTGGTTCCACAGTGCGCAGCAGTAGTCGTTTCCCCACTCTTGCCGGCAAACTGCGTCTCCCGAACATACCTTATCGGGATACACAAAATTGTATAGAATTGAAATTTTGTAACGTCTTTTGGCTTCAACCAGGACGTCGACGCGGTTACATTCGTCGTAGGTTGTCAACTATATTTTGATGTTACAGAATTTTCCAGCAAGTTTTGAAAAAAAAACGCTGACGAAGATCTAAGAAGACAGCTGGATTTTTCACGACAAATGCACGACTGCCCAATATCATCTTCAATTTACTATTGTGTATATTTATTAGATACCTTTATGTAATATCATATTTTTGTTAATTTTTTAAGATGTTTGATGGTAGCACTTATGTAAGTTTTATAAAGTTGAGTGCGTCGCCATCGCCGTCTTTTAGTTCTTTTCTTCTGCTTTAATGAAATAAAATTCCAATTGTACGTACGATGATCGTGCGACGAATGTGACCGGTCCTTTATTGAAAACATAATATTTAGACGAAGCTGAGAAAATAAACTTGTAAATATACCATGACAAACGTGATTTGTTTCAAGAGCATCCCTTTGCAAGTCTGGGAATTCCGACATACACTATAGCTAATATAATATTTTCAGTTTCGTAACTCTAAAGTACACCGTACAAAGGTTTTCGTGGCCGTTTTCGTATTTAGTAATATCGTAACGGTCACATTCGTCGTAAGACGTCGTACGATTTTGGAAGAACAGACTTCCAACCAAACCCTCATGATCGGACAGTATTTCCCTAAAAATGACTGCTGAATTTTGTACACGTGCACGACTATTCCAAGAATGCCCCCAGTGATCGTGCGACGCATGTGAACTTACACGTTATAAAAGGTACAGCATTGAGCAAAGCTTACCCCGGTCAGCACCAGTCCAGACGTACAACTCTGTACCACAGTGATGATCACCAAAGCTGAAATAACTGCATGTTTTAAAGGCATTTTACCACACAAAACACCCGGTTCTTTCTTAATTGCGCTGAAGAAAAAAGGTGGTCTGTGTATCCTGTGGAAGAATATCAGATCTAATCTGTTTTAAGGACGCGGTATATGTCACATACATTAGGCTGTGGTCTGCATTACGTACTACAAACGTCACACTACAGGCTTATTTTCTCGGAAGAGCGCCTTTTCCATTAGACAGCGACCGACGACCAACCAAAAGGGGAATTTGCATGGCAATTCGAGTGTTGCCGCCACTCCTGTTGTTGAAATATTTGTTAAAGTCACATTCGTTGCCAAAGTTAAGATGACTAAATAAAGAATATTTACCGAACTGAATAACAGAACATTATCTGCACTCTCAATTGTCAAAAGTAGAAAGCTAGAAAAGCTAGTACAATCACTCTGTTATAGCAATTGTTGTAGGGCCACAGGTTCTAAGCCTACCTAACATTTCCTGTCGGGTTTGCGTTTACATAACACCTTGAAAATAGAATGGTTGAAAGCAATGAAGTAACTAGAGGCAGATAGGAGAAAAAGCTGGAACATTTCACCTGACAGAACTATTACATGTCCATGGTAATCAAAAGAATTAGAGTTAACGTTTGCGATCGCCTCATCAACGTTATCAACAGTGTCCGTGGTGCATCTTGCACGTGTCAAATGACAATCTTATGGAAATCATTTGGACATGAAATATGATTTATCAATGACGATAAAATCCAAGCAGGTTGATAGCATTTGCTCTAGGCGATAAACCATGGCAGCATATTTTCCGTATCAATATTGGTAAATCTTTTTTTTGCCTGCATATGACAGGTACGTCTGGGACTGGTTACCTAAATATGCCAGTTAAAGTCTGATAAAGTTTGCTTAAAACATCAAAGGCCCAAACCAAGCATTACCCGACATACCTGGTATTTACAACCTTCAGCAAATACAACTTTTCGTTCCATGTTTGTTCCGGACGCATGTGATAAGTGTAAAGGTGATCACTCTTAAGAAATCTTCATGGTTCTGGAGATATTTGTACTCTTGCAGCTAAATAAAGGGATTCTATAATAAAGGATGTTTTAAAAGTATACTCTAGTGACAAATCTAGGACAAAGGATCTTTCAATTGGTTTCTGGAAAACAATGCATTACATAATACTTGCCACGATGGAAAAGACCTTTATAATGTTGCACAAAATTTAACTATAACGGAAGAGCGTGAAACTTGCGTCATGTGGGTGGGAGAGGCTAACGTCATTGTCATCAGACTGGGCGTATGTTCATTCGAATTTATTCAAAACCACCACGTAATTTAATAACACACAAAATATTAATTAATTAATTAAGTAGTAGCCTCTAAAATCTTCAATATAGTGAACCAAGCTTCAGGAGTAAAGCAGTTGTAATAGGTAAGATAATACGTGGTTCCACCTAGCATTGCATAATTACACACCGAGCAATATATTTGTAAAAACATTTTGACAAATACGTCCACGCACAGACTAGTTTATATACCTATAGCTACTCTTAATGTTCACTTGCTCGTTAAAAAATCAATACGTCCCATCTATTGTTAAATCCAATTATATTCTAGGGGAGATACTTTTTACTGTGTAAAACAGGCAAATACATCAAAGAACGTTTAGAGCTTAGAGGCAGAAACGTAAACGATTTGTTGAACTCCAAAATGTTGGTTTATCCATATGCTGGTACGTTTTGTGTTTACTTGTTCATTTGTGTTCATTTGTATCGATTTTTTTAAAGGTATAGTTGAAGACGATCTTACGATTGTCGCTGCAGATATTTGTTATGTCAATGGTTAGAGTGTTACTATTGTCTTCAACCAAATAATGTTAGCCCCGCGAAGTAGAATATTTTTTACAGTGAAACTCCGGGTTAAATATAATTTCTAACATATCTTTCGAATTCTATCATCAAATCAAACAGAACTTGACAAATAATCTTGCCTCCTATAAAACAATATAGAACACACAATCTTTTCATGAAAAAATGTCTTGCCACTCTCAAGCAGATCCAGACAGTGAGGTAAGTGGGATCGGGGCGCCACCTACAGGCCCAGAGTGGCCTTGCACGTTCACTGCGTTGACGTAAGCCACGTTGTCGTATGCTGTATAATTGGAAACAGAGAGATGAGGCAATTAATAAGTCTCTCAACAATTATAAAAAAAATTCATTTCAAAACAAACCTAACATGTTAAACCTTAAAACAGGTGCATACAATGGCATTGTGTGAACTATGAGAGAAAAAGAGAGCGAGAGAGAGAAAGATATATATAGAGAGAGTGTGTGTGTGTGTGTGTGCGACGAATACTTTAAAAACTTTAACCAAGCATGATCATTATCTAACCTTCCATGTCATCCCTTCCCTTCCTCTTGCGCTCCTGCTTACGGCGTTTGCGGACACACAGACACGTTGCCATGACAACGACAATACCGGCCGCCAACGTCCCGCCTCCCACAGCCACCCACATCACTGGGAAGTCGTCTCCTAAAAAGAGTTTTGGATTGGTAGTCAGAGTACTTGTGCTGTGATGTATCCATTCAGTTACAAGCTAGAGAGAGAGACATTTGCCTACTGTTCTCTACTGTTTTTACATCCATTCTAACTGGGAAGCAGAGGCCAACAATTTCTTCAGCCTTGAACTTTGCTCTACTATCTGGTGTCAGCAAGACGCATCCAATGTTAAATCTTATCAAGGGCTTATCCTCAATTTCCAGCTAGGCCAGTGATTGCCATACCTTGCGACCGTAGGGCGACACTATTGGATATGGTTTTACAATTGGATTATGGTTCAATACACGTATGTAGGACTGATTCAAAATACAAGAAAACACACAAGTACAAATTAATTTTCATCTTTGGAATTCGTTGACCGATCTATAAAACCCTTAGTCCCCATAAGGTCGCAGCTCGATTAGAAAGTCTAGATTATGTCAAATCTAGTGGAAAGTAGGTCTTACCAGCTGCAATGCAGACCCTTCCGGGGCGTTCACCCCGTGCAGCGGACTGATCCCTGAACCCGTCCCGGCACTGACAGGTGAACGATCCTGCTGTGTTCACACAGAGGGCTTCTGTCGGACAGTCATGGTGCTCTGGACTCGAGCACTCGTCAAAGTCTGAATTAAAACAAAAAAATCAGAGATTTGAAACTTCCGGGAAGTATTTTACCGTGAGTCAGCATGAACGTATATTTATTGTTACAAACTGGGAACAGGGTTGGATGGTTTTCGTGCTATACTCCGCTTCCTAACTTACTTACTTCCTGAATTCCCCCACATATCGACCTCTAATGCCTGTTGGTGCCATATTCGGTGACCTTCAATACACCTGTGCCAGACCTTTAACTTACCAGATTTTACTACTGATAAAGAGTTCACATTTGTAGTTCTGGGAATTGGAGTGGTTAATTCCATGAAAGTAGAGATGTATGTCCAGAATCTCTCTGGAGGAAGCACAATTAGCCACTGGCAGCAAAAAGGCGTGTAACACATGCCGGTTAGTGCTATATGGGCACCACCAATCAATTGTGAAGTAAATTACAATGTACTGATGATGAGAGGAATGAGACTTACCCGTCATCTCAACAGAATCCGTGTCTATGGCCAGATGAGTTCCGTTCCGACCCGACACGGCATCGCGGAACGCCGCAGTCACCTGAGCCTGACCTTCCTCCGCCGACTCCCGGATGTTGAGCCTCATGTCGACCAGCACACTCCCGCTCCGGAAGCCCAGGATAACGATCCCCAGGAACACACCAGACATGTCCGTCTGGTGGAACAACTCTTCAATCTGGGGTAACATGTAAGATATGCCGGCTTAGTACAGTTTTGCTAGAACTTTACCGTCCGGAAGTGCTTCTGCGCTGTGTGCGCGGTTGGTATGCGTTCGTTTTTCCGGAAAAAGGAGGTTGACAGCACGTGGTTTGGGATAGATAGGCAAAATGAGAAAACGTCAATTGGTCATTAACTGACAATAGGGTGAACTTGAGTGTAGGTTGACAGTGGGAGGATAGGTGGTATGAGAAGAAATAAATTGTTTATAAACAGAAAAAAAGGTGAACTTGGGTGTAGGTTGATAGCCCGAGGGTGCGAGGTTGACAATCAGAATGACTGCAGGTGAAAAGGCCATAAACAAGTAATGAGGTGAACTCAAATGTCACGAAACCGCAAGTGACGTGTAATCTACGATTTTTCTTGGTTCAAATGGAAATACATATTGCATAACAGCATCATTTTTCTAGCATCTGCTATTGCCATAAAGTGGTTCAGACTCGAAGGCGTGAAAAGCACATACCGTCTGGGTGACCTCGGTAACCAAGGCTAAAAACGCCGCGCTCTGCTTGTCCTTCAGATCTTCAGAAAACCGTCTTGCTTGCAGACGGATTGAGAATTGATACACTTGGCGTGCTGTAATAAAAATTGAGTATGGTTGATAGTTATATTTTATCTATCAACCAAACTTCCTTTTGTCTTCTTTGCATACCTTGTATTACATAATTTTGGAGCATTATATAGTAAGAAATGGTATAAAATTTGAACAGTAAACAACTTACATAATAGAGTTCAAAAGTCTTGTGATACCTTCGCATCTTCCTTCGAATTCCATGAATCCAGGCTTGCACTCACACACGTAGCTTCCCGCAGTGTTCCTGCACCGACGATTGTCAGTGACATCACAGGTAATGATACTGCACCAGTCCAACTCTCGCTCTGAATATACACCGAAAATACAGCCATTGGTTCAACGAACAGGATATGCTATGAGTATGACGTACCCTAAAAGGAGTTTATTTGGAGATTTTTTGGGGGATGAGCGCATTTCTAAGTGAAGCAGCGAGCGTGTTACTTAGAATATTACTTGACTTCCCAGTTGTATTTGTGCGTCTATAAAAGGACAGCCACCTACAGTTTATGAAGAGGATACTGTACTAAACACGTTACACTTCAGCAGGACCAGATAATAAGTACAGCTACTCCACTTTACAAATAAGACAGATGATTGTGGTTACATTTTAAATGAGAGATGACTTTTAAGTCTGGTTGAAAATTACCTTCACAGTGCACACCGTTGCCGACCCAGCCTTCCTCGCAGACGCAGGTCTTGGTTTCAGCGCTGCACACCGCGTGTTCGTGACAGTCAGATTGACACTCTGTTCAATTATCAGTAATATAAGTACCACCTTCACAAAATTGCAATGACGAAAATGTGTCACTTGGTACTGTATAATCATTTGACACGTTGTTTGTTTATGTTTATTAGACACGTTAACTGACCACTTATAAACAGTAGGTATAAACAGTAAGGATGTATTCGGTACGTGGGGCGATATCGACTTCCAACAACCTTTGACCCGTTGCTCGTCATACATACATGAAGTTGGCGATTGGGTCATGCGATAGCTGAAAAGAACTCAGTGATTTAGAAACAATTCTAATGAGTCCAATTTTTGTAATTTACCAACTCGGATTAGACTTCAATGCATGTATTCATTATAGTTTGCCATGTATTTATGTCATACCAGGTGGAGCAGGAGTTGTCTCCTCAGGAACCAGGACGATGGGCCCCTGCACCACGGCTGCGCGCTGCTGCATCCCGGCTGACGCCTCACGCCTGCGCCGTGCCGGTGGAGCCTCACATCCCCTCGCACAGCGGGAGTCCGGGTTATCCGCCAGGCACACCATCACGTCACAGTGGAGGTACACCTGTGGACGGCGGGGGTAAGTCGGTACTGATTACTTCATTGTACGGAAGTATTGGTTTTGGTGGCTGAGCTGTGGATGTGTGTGTGTCTGTTTATCTGGAAATAGTAGGTTGACAACACGTGGGTAACAAAGATTTACATGCAGAATAACGAGAGGTCAACATGTCAGACATGGAAATAGAATGAACTTCATTATGAAGGCCATGAAAACCTAGCTTCCCACCAATTTAATCTTGATGAAAACTATACCCCCATGGACATAAATTGATATTAATGAGATAACTTACCATTGTCTGATTGATGAACCTGAAAGCCCTGATGCCATATCGACGAGACACTGGGTCTGACGTTTCGAATTCCTCAAGGGTGTCATCTTCTTCACATCTGTGAAAATCATGCAGTTCTAAAATGAATAGGTTTAGATTGATCTTTTAGACGAAAAATCTCTGACATAATATTTTATATTTAATAATAAAGCCACTGACGTTTGATTGAGGACCCGGTCACATGGATCCATCCTAGGACTGCTGCACGTATGGAAGTCTCAGATGAAGATGATTGGCTTACCAAATTCGGCTGACGAAAACGTTAAAGATCATTGTCTGTCACAACGTGCTTGACATTTATACATCACGATGTCCCGAGACAAAGGTGACAGCCCCGCAAATTCTTCACACGGACCTTTCGATAGAAAAACAAAAGCTTGCCCCTCACCCATCCCGAATGATGAAGTACTGCCTGGCGTCATCATGGTTGGAGGTTGGTGTAGCCTTGCAGTTTTCAACAAACAGCACGACACCGGAGACTTCAGAAGCCACTGCCACGCCGAAGTGCAGCATGTGGTTCACCGTGACCTGTGCAGAGACGCAAAGGTTTCATGGGAATTGGCGGTTCGACCAATGAGAAAGTGGTTTCGTGGCCGTCAAATATTTTCACCCTCGAAGGAGAAGTACTAGTGAGCCAATGTACAATACCATAAAATAAATATTTCAACAACGTTAACGTTCATTACCTTTACAGGAAATTCGGTTTGTTCAAACGGCCGTAGGAATGCCTCCGAGTGGTACAGGTTCATGCTGAATGTGAAGGACCCATTTCCACTAGGGATCGTCACACTGCAATGGAAAAACAATAAGTTATGTTTTAGTTAAACAACTCACGTACTATCTACTCTTTATTATACAGGTATAAGGTTTCAAAATCGCCACATGGCCATCTCACAAAGCATGATGTACAATAAAACAAGACATCGGAGATTTAAGATTTCCGAAAAGTGTTTTGGTTTTCGCGACTTCAAGTGAACTGACTAAGCCACCCGAAAAATACTTCCGAATAAAATAGTTACTTTGGCAATGGAATCGGAAACAGGATCGGCCCCACTCCGACGACGTCTTCCCGGACGTAATCACAGCGGAACGGCCAGCGCAGCTCCAGGTTCCTGATGATGACACCGTCCGTGACAGGAGCGCCGGAGACGACCTCGTTTGTGAAGGATATTTTAGAGGTGTCGACCCCGTCCTACAATTCGAGAAAATGGTTGTCACGTCATGTTGTCATTTTCCACAGATTATGGCACTAATCAGTGAAATTCTGCGGAGAGTATTTTCTGCAAATACGTTAGCTGTGGGAAGCTATGGGAAGCCATAATCAAAACAGGAATTGGGAGATTTCAGAATGCCGTGAGGTTTGCAATCCTTGGCTTCCTGAATTCCCTCATATTGACCACAAATTCCTGCTTGGTCCTGGCTATATCTGCGACTTCCGCGTTCACTCCTTTTCCTGTGTCTGACTTTTTGTACCTATCATTCTGCATGTCAATCTTTTCCACCCACAAAGTGTCAACCTAATGTGTGACGCAGACGTACTTGAGCTGTGGTCCCACATCCATTCAGCGGCGCCGTCAGCACCACGTGCGTACTGTTGACGTCTGCTCGGCAGTTGGAGTGACGCAGGCGCATAGTGTCCACATCCACGCCCACAAGAACGTCCCTCATAAACACCACACGCATGTAGGATGTTTCGCACGTTAGATATCCACGTCCGGGATCTGAAAGGGAAGGTTGGCAGTGATCACCATTCCAACAATACACTTTGATAAGGTTTGGGTAAAGTTATATTATTATGAGTAATTATATAGAGTGAAAGAGGCCGTGTACATCAAGTCACTTAGACCACCCTCAACCGAGACGAGAGCCGATACCTTTGGCCCGTTGCACACGTCACACTTCATAATGCCATTTACTGCCAGACAAACTTTCATCTAAACGCTGTTTGCCCTCTAGTAACATTGGTTTATCGCAAGATGTATATTAAGTGCACATCACTTCACAATGAAAGACATTTCAGGTTCGTTTTGTAGATATGTCGACAGTGTAGGAGTAATTCGCTCACCGGTCGATGCTGTGACAGCGGCCTCAGCACTCTCCCCGTACAGCCCAATTGCCACAAGAGTGATCCTGTACTGGACCCCGGGTAGCAGTCCTGTAACGACGGCTGAGGTGTCCCGGGGACCAGGCGGCGGGTAGAGGTCGCGACTGCTGCCGCTTACCGGGGTGTCGCTCACCCGGAACCTCACCAGGGTAGAACGGGGCAGCGCCCAGGAGATGGTGATGCTGTTGAACGTCACTTGGACAACATGAAGCCCGGTCGGTGCGTCCACGGCTACAGGAGAGTGTGCAAATCGGTTACATGGGATATTATAGCCTGCGTCACACAGACCTTTAATGTCAGTGGCTGCCTCGACATGTATCTCGAGTGAACCATTCCCATTTCCATTCCCAGAACTACCAAAAGGATCTCAGGTTTTTTCAAAATCAAAATCAAACCAATAGAAGCTCACGATTCTCTGTGACTGTGGCATTTGGAAACCAGTCACAGTCATCAACACAATTGTAACAGTTCTCGCTCTGGCAATTATATTTGCTCCGTTTTAACATACAACAGGATTAATATGCTTCCAATTCTAATAACTTGTTGGTGTTAGTAATCAAGTTTTAGGGCCTGACCAGTGGAAGGGCTACTAGAGGCGTGATTGATACAGTTAGGCAAAGGAAAGTATATTGATCCTTTTTAGTTTACTAACTTTTGATAAAACAAAGTAATAGTAATTGCGATATTTGAATAGATTGACAAGTGTTAAGCTTTTACCTGTTGCAAACTGTCCAGTTGCAGCATCATGACTCCTCCTTGACCCTCGCTGGGAGTAGACGCTGATGTTGTACATTGTTCCTGGCCTTAGTCCTGTGAAGACGATGCGCCCACCGTGTGTCGTATGTGAAAGCGACTGGGTTTAACACACACAACACATGATAAACATTTGTTGAAGCTGAGTTTTCTTATCTAGGTATAGTTATTTCGGAAGTTCACATTTGACTCCAATTAAACCACTCTAGATACCTTTCAATTGTGATAATTTGAAATCTAACAGAAAAGTGAGCAACACAATAAAATTCCCTTGGATATATAATGGGTACCTGTGATCTATCCAGTGCTATGATATCGACATAGTAGAATGTTGTGAATGGTGAGGGTGGCCACGAAACCGTAATAGTTGTTTCGCTTGCGGACACAAACGTCACCTCAGATGGCTTTTCTGGAGCTAGAATTCAGATATCTCAATCATCAAGTCATAAACACCATTCACAATAAACAATGCATCAATGACTGACTTCATTTTAAAGTCCATAAAGACAAAACAGACTTAAAAAGAGATACCTACCTGTACATTGGTGCTGATGAAGACAGTGGCATCCATAATCATAGTTGCGGACGGTCCATGTGAATTCGTCCTCACAGGTTATGTTGGTGCACGAGATGCTTCCCCAGCTATGGCAGGTACATTGGAGGCTCCCTGGTTCTCCCCAGACGTCATCAACCTAGAGCATAAAATTGAAGAACATTTTGTCATGGCATTCTTTATTTTAAATTTATCGGATTCAAAGCATGTGGAAAGGTTCTGTTTTTGAACACTTCAAGTTTTTACGCGAAATCTACGGGTGCTTTTAAGCTTTAAATTATTATACATTTGCGCCGTAAAATTAAAAATTTAGACAGTTAAAACATGTATATGTTGAACGTTGCTTTTAGTTTCGTACTAAATATTTACTGCTTCGTGGCATTGGATAAGCATTGATATCTGTTTGGACAATGTAATTGAAGAAACATAACTCCATTCTAAAATCAATAGATCTGCTAGTTTCATAATCACCTCAAAGTATCTTCCATCGCGCTGGCAGCCACACTCATAAGGATGTACGCACTTGTCTCCACTCAGCACCAACCCGGGGTTACACACACAACCTTCCACACAGCTGTCTACACAGTTCAACTCTGAGTTCGGACTGGAGCATGTGTTGGGACATGCACTGGTACATGCTGAGTACGTGCTGTTAGGCCCACATGACAGGGCTGAGGAAAAAAGCATATGAGCGATCATTTTGATCTGGTTGGTATTTATCATCCATCATCGACAAAAATAACCAAGAGTTGAAGAAGTAAAGATGGTTTGTACAATACATGCTATATGGAGATCATCATCATTTTCATTTCAGGACACAATCATCATACTATATACCTAAGATGTTGTTTTTCCGCGACGATATCGTCTTTCAGGTTAGAGCGTAGAACTAAGAAGAAACGGGTGCAATAGTTTGATTTACGATGCACCGCACGATCGCCGCGAAAAAACACCACCCTAAGTGCATCGTACGATGTAAGTGACTGGTGCTCAAATATGCATAATGGTTGGTCAAGCTCACGGCATAGGTCCTGTCTCCTCCAGGACAGACTATGGAGCCCGGCCGACACACAGGCATGGGCGGCAGACTCCAGGTTCTGGCACAGTTGTGCTATGTCTCCGCTGTTGGCGCACACGTCGAACACGCAGGTATCGTAGAACACGCCTAGGTCGATGAGGTTCTCACAGACACTGAACGTGCCGTTGCGTTCGGTTATCATGCCACACATGGTTGAACCTGCCACTGCCTGCTGCAGTACAGGATCGCAGACATCAGGTGGCGGTGTTGTCGACAGGCCGTCGTCGGTACCACCACCCGTACAGCTACACAAGGTAAGGTACATAGACAAATGTAGATTGGAGATTATGACATACAAATTCTAAGAAAGGCCATTGTTTGAAGATTGAGAGAATCAGCTAAAAACGATGAGACCCACCTTGACCAACTCGTGGCCCAGCTCTCCCCGAATGTGTTCAGGTCGCCTGTGACCCAGCCGTAGGATGTCATGAAGTCGTTCGTTTGGTTACCGTCAAAATCCCCGCATAGTCCGCGCACCTGGTTCCTGTAGGTCCCGGGCACAAATACCTAAGAGAAAGAGAGAAACGCATATGTGCTTCAGCAAAATCGCCGATTCCTGCGATCCTGTTTATTTCATCTGTAGCTAGAGATGTGTTTGGTACTGAAATGCCGAATTACTAAAACCGCTTGCTTGCCTTTGCGTAATGGGAGCCGTCGTAAAAGACTTTGACTGACGTGTCAGTCTTCAGAACCACGGACGTGCCACTGTAGCTGCCCCAGACAGTACCGTTCAGGTTGAACGGTGGTGTGAAGCGAACTCCATTGACCTGAAGCAGAGTGAAATAAAGCAATTACTGTTCTGTCTTATTAGATTTTTATGCAAGATTTGGTCAACCTTAAGCTTTAATGACTGTGCTTTGAAATCCTTGCATCGTTTTAAAATCCAACAAATTGAAATTATATATAGGATTTAAAATTATATATTAGTTTGGATGACAGCCTTTTTACTTTAGCACGCTCTCCTACCAAAACATTGGGCGTACAGTTGTATTCTTTCTGTCTGCATTTGAATATTGTATAAGTTTATTGCAAATACTTGCCCGAGGGCTAATTGCAGTTACAAACAACATAGAAAGAAAATACAGTGGTATGTGAGACTATATCTACTTCTAACATTATACTATATTCTACAACATGACATGACACTAGTTTTACTGGGTTTGACTTCTTCTTTTTAGGCAATGGAAGACGAATTTACCCACTTCTTCTATAATATGTGGGTTCTTTGATTTTAGTAGTAAAATTTTTTTTGTGGTAAGGAATGGTAGGGAAGTAAGGCAGCATTTTGGACACGGTGGTAAATAATTGATTTCTGATGTCGTCATAGAATGGACAGTTAGAGATGAAATGAATTACGTCTTCCACTGCATTTGAGGAGCAATATTTACAAATTCTCTCCGACACAGGTAGTTTCATATATCGCCCTTTTTCGATTTCCAAGGAGTGGGCACTGATTCTAATTTTAGTAATAGCGGAGCGCTGATCGAAGTCACAATGTTCTAGGTATTGTTCTAAACAGTATTCAGTTTTACATTTTCTATAGAATCTCAGTTTACCGGTATTAACAGACAAACTATGGAAAAAAGTTTGAATGTACATGTCTGAAAGCCTTGTCCTTAAAACTTTATACATATGTTGAGGATCACAGGTTGTACTATCAATATGCAGTAGGTAGGAATATCTGAACAGGTGTGCTGATTGACCACACCGCCCAGTGCGCAATGATCATCCCCAGGACGGGCCCAGGCTTCATGGCAGGAAGCCATATAGAGCACATTAAAGCTAGAAAGACTATTAAGGCTATATTCAATTAAACCTACCAAAACTTTCTTGCCCTGAAGTATGGAAACCCTGTATCCCTGAACGTCCAAGTACACGGCCCTGGTGCAGGACACGTGGGACCTGCTGCCGCATGGCTCGTTGGTAACCTCTACCCTGAAGTCTTTGGTGTTGCCGCGGTACTCGGCCAGTACGTAGTCACATTTCCCTTGGAAGTGATGCACTGCCTCGTCAAACGTTATGTAGTGAGGGTCACCCCAAGCCTCGCAACTAGCGCCGTCGACTAAACACAAAGGAATTACTGTCTCTATTAAGGTCAGCACTTACTATTTGTAGTACTCTGAAGTACGAGTTTTGTTCAAGTGTAGCTCTACTGATTCTTTTACTGGACCTGGGTTTGCAATAACAATTATGATGAAATCGAGATAATTGGTATCACTCCACAGATGGCACACATGAAACTATTCCATCTATGTATGATGGTTCCTTTTATACAATACGTATGTGTTGTACTCACGCATCTCACAGTTGACGCCTCTGAAGCCAGGCGCACACTCACAATCGTACCGGTTATCTCCATCGATACACCGGCCTCCATTTTGGCAGGGCTGAGACGAGCACTCATCTATGGTCAATACAAAAGCATAACTTACTTCCTCACCTCAAAGGTGCAATAAAAATGTTGTTCATGGCTTGGATTTATCCCCAAGAGCACAAGATTCGGGCCAACAACCATAACCACAAGACTACCTTGCCACATGCGAAATGTATTGTGAGATATGACTCACCGTGGCAAACTACAGCCGCGATCTGGCCGATCTGCTGTGTCAGAGCATTAAAGTCGTTCAGCCCGATCACTTTGCCTGGATTTCCGGGATCGTTGGCGATCTGTTCCAGCTCGGTCCTGTCGTAGCTCCCGACTCCGATGGCATAGACGGACACACCGTCCGCTGTGAGGGCCTGAGCCGGGGTCTGGACATTGTCTCCGGACTGACCATCGGTCACCACGATCATTACCTTCAGGGCGTACAATACAATTGATTAATGAATGAAGACAATTCATGGAACATACATGTCGACTGAGGTAATTACAGGTCACAACAAATTAGTAGTTCACAACTTTACATATACGTTGTCAAGCTTGCACGAGTATTATATTTGGTTTCTCACTTCTTTGTGCTAGTAGAAATGTATAGCTTGGTATCTGTTTTTACAAAAAAGGATGCGTACATTTGCAAAGAGGACGATAGAGAGTTGGTATCTAGCTTAGGTTTGGATACCAGACTAGAAAATGTATGGACAGATATGTTTTATGAACATAACTAAACTCATGAGAAATATGAATTTGTCTATATATAATACTTTGGTGTATGAAGTAGGGGAACGTAGCTAGCTTGTATCAGTGTTTGGAGGTCAGCTATCTCATTGTCGAATACTTTACATTCTACTACAAAGTGGCAATGTGAACATACCCATGTACTTACTTTCGGAACTGGTGAAGCCCTCCATGCAGCGTTAGTTCGGGTGAATTCCATGGCTGCTCCAGTCTGTGTACCTCCTCCCAATTTCCCGATGTTGTTGATTGCGTTGACAGTAGACCATTTGTCAATGTAATCTCCAAGATTGAAGTGCATCCTGCAAGTAAGAGAAACATACACAGTAAAAACATAGCTTGGTACTGAAAATTCCTGTTGTCCATGATTTGAATTCAATCGCCTTAGGCGTTGCCAAAAAGGCAGCCATCACATATAGTGCACAGCATATTCCTATTATATGATTGTGTTGATATGCTCACCTCGGGGAACTACTGTACTGCACTGCCCCAATCCTGGTGGTAGTCGGGCTGATGCTGAATGTGTTGACCACGTCAGCAGCGAACGTCTTCATTCTACTGAAATCCGCACTGCTCACACTCCCGGACCCGTCCAGCACGAAGAACAGGTCCATTGCTCTGTCACACGTGGGAGGGGGTGTTGTATACTGGAGGGTTGTTGACTCGGTCACTATAAAAGACGACAAAGGGATTTAGAGGCCGATTGTGAATTAATATTACCAGTATCTAAAGGAAACATTTGGGTTTTAACCCAAAGCTAGAGCATTAAAAGGTGTGCTTGGTAATTGTTGGATATGCTGACTTATTTCCCAAGGCCATCGATGCATATATGCACTGCGTGATTCATGCAAGCTACATTCATACAGATATCCCTCATCAAACAAAAGAATGTCATGTTAGTCACACCTACCTTCCGTGCAGACCACTCCTGCGTCCTCGTGGTGACCACAGTTGTGACTGCCCCAGCCCCGGTGACGACAGTCTGACACCCTCATCTCACTGCCGGTACACGCTACATCGTCCATCCAGATCGGTCCAGTTCCTAGGCCGAAGAAAGCCGATTGTTTTGCTTCGTCCGCACCTGGATACCCCAGCTGACGGCACACCACTTGAGCGTCGTTCAGGCCCCACGCATCGTCACAGATGTTCCCCCATTGACCACCGTGCCAGATCTCCACAGTTCCCTCGTTTGCGCTGCCACCGTTTACAAGACGAATACCTTCGGACGAAGACAAAAAGTACTTTAGGACATGCTGTGGTCATGAATTTCGGCTGTTGAGCTCGGAATGAAGGAAATAAGACTCTTATCATATTTGACAAGTAGTGTGATACGTAAATGAAGAATCTGATATCATAAAGTTTTGCAGTAGACCAGATTATGCGCGAGCACCACTAGACCTATAAGTTGACAGACTTTACAAAAATTTGTGGCTGGGATATTATTGGATTTGAAAGATACCATTCAAACAATTGGAAGATGCACTGTGAACGTACTGTTATCTGGTCCCGAGAACGCCCACACACTTCTGTCGTAGATTCCCGGAAACGCCGGTCCCTCCCTTGCACAGCCGTGCAGACCCACCACTGCTCCCCGGTCCATAAGGATGTAGTAGCCGCCAGTCCCAAATGTGTAGGGCGGTGTCCAGAACGTCAGGGTGCCGTTGTTGATTGACACATCTGAGGATGTCCTGGTGTTGATGACGTGGACCTGATCATGGCTGCTGTTGTAGAACCGGATGTACCTCGAAAACGAAGGTCTTTGGATCTTGGGGAAAATTACACAATGTCCATTAAGGTTTTTGTAAAACTATTATTCATTGCAATAAAATAATAAAACCAATTTGAAAAAGCTAACTAGGCTAGCCTCAAAACCAAAGATCAGCCAATAATGGTCATATACGTAACAGTTTGATTCAACAATTAGAAGATTTCCTTACTTTACCCTATAGTAACCAGGTTGGTAAACAACAACAATTGCTTTTACACATTCATTTTATTATGGAGATTTAAACACTATAACCGTACACACAGGTGATACAAACAAACAACCTTTGGGCAGGTCTCTCAAGTTAGTTGTTAGTAAGCAATTTTCAAAATGCCATTTATCGTGACAGATGAACTTTTAGTCTGATTCCACAGTTACAGTACCTCTGTATCAAACTCGATCATCCACTCTGTCCTGTTTGTGACATCAATCAGTCCATCAGGTGTTTGTGTTTGAGGCACCGCATCCGGAGAGATATCTGCAACAGTCACAGGAAAAGCAACAATCATCATTGTCATCAGTTTATAGAATCCTTAACCCTTGTTCTGCTGGCATTCCTGGCACAATATGTTTCAATAATTTCATGTCTTAATTACTATCATAGACCCCCATTTTTTTTGCCCTGCAGTGGCATAGTTACTTCTGCATTCGTTGCATTTCGCTGCGGTGTGCTGCATGAGAAATACCCCCAAATCGTACCTATGCAGGGTGCTATATAGATGGTACTAAATGTGCAGAAACAATTGTTGTGCTCTTGTGCTATGTTCTCATATAATCATTGATAACCATGTAGCAGAAACAATAGCATCACTTACCTCCCACAAGAAGGGTAACGCATCGTTGCTCGGAAGTTAATCTGCATGAAAAGTAAAAGTCCCAAACAAATGTCAGTGATGAAATAATTTTCGGCCTGTAAATTCATTACCTCCTTGAAACGGGATGTTTTATTTGGATGTGTTTGTTCGTTTTTTCCCCACTTATTTCCACATGCTGGCACGTTGGAATGCTAGGCACTGACAGGAAGTTAGGTAAAAGGTCCCAGAAGGGTCTCAGGACAGGATATCAAAGTTTATCGCCTTTCCTGTCAGCATCAGCAAGAAATTCACAATATTGAATAAAAAAGAACTAAAAAATAGCAGAGGTATGAAATGTTGTTCATAGATGTTCAACGTTTTTATGAAATCTGCAGGATATCAAAAGAAAGACCCGCCAATACCCGTTTGTGTCCTCCGCATGGAAGCAGAAGATGTGTTGTCCTCTCTGAGATTGTGTAGGTGTCCAAGTGACGTTGACGTGGTACCGCTGAGGATTGTTGGGGACAGCCTGTAGCTGTGACTTGGTCAGTCCCGGTGGTGATACGGTCAGGATTTCACCAATCCTGTAGAATATTTTGATAGAATTTTTGTTTTGACAGGTAAACATTATCTACTATAATCTCGATAATATTTTGCAGAGTGCTTAGCAATGCATACAGTAATGGCTTCAGGAAATATCTATCAATTCACAGTCATCCCCACGTATCTTAAATGTCTGCTTTGGAACTGAGAAGATCTAGAACATCAGTTGTTTTGGCATAGTACGATTAACTACAACTCCTTTAACAATTTTATTTTCTGTCCATCAGCAACCAAATTCACACAATCAAGTTCATGAACTGTTTAATATTTCTTAAGAGCTGTTCTAGTGCATTTGCATGTGATGATATGAATATCATTACATCCGTTCTAAAGCATTAGCAGAAAGCAAGACCTGTCTTCATGTCAAGTATTGAAATTGTGAAACTGTAAAACGAACAAATATTACATACATTGCACCGGATGTAAGAGCTTCTGCTTCTACAGATGCCGTGTACGTCTGTCCGTCTGCTATCGCGATGCACTCATTGTCCTGTGGTGATGACCCTACCAGCCGGGGCTGTTCCTGGCACTGAGTGTTGGCTGCGTAAACTGTTGGAGCACAAGATAAAAATCAAAATTAATCGTACAGATTTCATACAAACGTTGTCGAGATTCAACATTCTACTTCATATGCAATACATATAATAATGTGATAACAGTCATATCTTCACTGAACTTCTTGGGACTCTGAGTGAATTATAAATGCTATAAAATAAGGTTGTATATCTGCCAGAGACGCCCAGTGGAAAATTGATGACCATATTAACAACTATGAGCTTTCAGCATGCTTATACAAGCCAGGGATTGGTAGTCGTTGATACATGTATTTATGAGCATAGCTCGTTTACTCACCGTAAACAAGAAACTGTAGCGGTATGCGACTCATCGGAGTTCCCTGTGAGACTGTGAAGACAGGCTGGGTGGCCCATGTTTCGATCGGCGCAGCTGTACCCCAGCCAGCGCCCCATACTTGAGTCGTTCCCCACACAGTATACCATGGCCAGGTAGTACTTTCGGTGGTCGGCACTGGGGTCGTAGCCGGAGTTGTGCTGGCTTCAGTGGTCCTCCAACCCCACCACCAAGGAGTAGTCCTCCACCACGGGTGCCCGGTAGTACTTTCGGTGGTCGGTTCTTGAGTTGTAGCCGGAGTTGTTGTGCTGGCTTCAGTGGTCCTCGAACCCCACCACCAAGGAGTAGTCCTCCACCACGGGTGCCCGGTAGTACTTTCGGTGGTCGGTTCTTGAGTTGTAGCCGGAGTTGTTGTGCTGGCTTCAGTGGTCCACCAGCCCCACCAATGTGTAGTCCTCCACCACGGGTAATCGGTAGTACTTTCGGTGGTCGGTACCTGAGTTGTAGCCGGAGTTGTTATGCTAGCTTCAGTGGTCCACCAGCCCCACCAATGAGTAGTCCACCACCACGGATGCCAGGTAGTACTCTTGGCGGTCGGCGCTGGGGTTGTAGCCGGAGTTGTTGTGCTAGCTTCAGTGGTCCACCAGCCCCACCAATGTGTAGTCCTCCACCACGGGTACTCGGTAGTACTTTCGGTGGTTGCCTCTGTTGTCCATCCCCACCAAGGTTGTTGAGATGTCCACCAAGCCTGCCGCTTGATGCGATGCTGAGCCCCGCTGATTGGGTAATCTTCAAGGACGAGGGAAATGGCGTACCATCCCGGCTGCAGGGTTCCTCTTGACGTGTCGTACGTAATGGTGCAGTTGTCCTGAGGGATTAGATGAAGAAATTTCGAAGTACCATCCGAACCCTTGCAAAACGATTACATTGCATCAACATAAAATCGAATGATACACATTCAGTTTTATTTATATAATATTTTCTTTTGCCCCGCTTTAATATTAAGAGTCTCTATATATAGAAGAGACACAAGACCAACTGTAGGTATTACAGACACCTCTTACCTCATCGAGGGTTGAGAACGGCAGGGGATCGCATGCTCCGCCACACTCTCCGTACACAGAGGCGTACCTGCACTTCACCTTGTCGCCGTCAGGGTCTTCAAACGGGATACGGATCACGGTGTCGCAATTATTCTGAACCCTAGTAAGTCATGGGGTATATTGATAAAGCCAATTTTCAATCTCCATCATCATTGAAAACACTATTCATATGTTATGCAGAAGGTTAGAATCAACCACATTAATCCAGGGTAAAGCAGTAAATAGATAAACAGATAACCCTTATTGTACATTCAAGCCCTAGGTGAACTGATGAAAAGGTATGTGCATGTTCGGAGTACAAACAGGACTACTGATACCAAATGTAACTACATTGAGCTCTAGAACTACGGTCAAATTAAGCTGTCCAAAGAGATGATTCAGGCCACCGATGGAATTTGGTCTATGTAAACAGTCTGCGTTTTCGCTGGGGTTTTGACCTCTTCTATATATACTACAATTTTTTCTTTTCTACTCCCTCGGTGTACGTTTATGTTAGACAAGCGGTTATTCATTGCGCATGCCGTATCAAGTCAACACATGTCCATCCATCTTTCCATCTATCTAAGGCAAGTTTACATCACGCTGGTTTTCTACATGTTTACTGTTACTTTCTAATGATAAACTTTGCATGCATCTGTCTCCAATCTGGCTTGCCGACTGACCTGTATATGGGTGAGCTTGCTGTGATGGGGGAAGAGTTGGGCCTCCCCGTGTCTGACCTGGTTCCAAGTTCAACACGAGTCTGCACACTCCAGCCAGGGGCGTGCGTGGTGCCGCTCGGGCGTCTCACGGTGATCCAACAGCAGCTGGCGTGCCTGGATGTCAGAGGGGCGGTTCAGTACTAAGGCGACATTTTATGACTGTCATAGAAATACAAATAGATTGGATATATGTTACAATCCGTAAGATACAATACGATATTATAAAGATGTATATCATGTCATTATCTAGGGTTCTGTAACATACAGTATAGCTGCAGCATCTTATCCCACGAAGGCACCATTTTGACCCAACATTTTACCACACCCTCCCAACTAGCCCAGCCTTTCGTTTTTAGTCCAGCCTTCATGACAGAACATGCTCGTAAGACGCTCATGACAGAACATGCTCGTAAGACTGATGTATAGAATTACTTGTTCTTAACTGTATTGAGACCTCTGACCTCTCAGCAGTTTTATACCCTATGTTGTATTCTCATTTCCCATGTCGTATTTCATTGCATGCTATGTTGCATTTTATTTGCCATGTTGTATTTAAGTTACGTTCGCTTCTTGTGTATGTATGTATGTATGTATAGTATAAGGCAGTGTTTCAAACGACTCCAGGAAGACTAGTGTTGTATTATTGTTGTACGCACTAATGGAGATCGATCAAATAAACAATAAACAAATAAGCCGACGGACTTGAATTTCCCTTGATGGAAGTAGAGCAATGACGCGGTTTTTCTTTGGGGGAAGGGTTGGTGTTTAAGAAAGCCCAACGTAAAGTTTTTTGCTACCTAACTTTTCTTCTTGGTGCTAAGAGAGTTGGTGTGTTATGTGGGGCCTTATGTGTAGGCCAAAGGGCGGTTATACCGGATACACACAGATGCAGAGCCATCTGTACCTTACAACATGTGGTCCAGCGTCGGGAAACGTGAGACTGAATGCCCCCTCCCCCTGTTGCCAGTCCTCCTGATCGCTGTAGTCCGTGCAGTAGTACGACGCCTGGTGACTTCCTGCCGCTGATGTCCATGATCCACTTCCGGAAATCAAAGTCCTGTTGTCAATGGAGTTCTGGTCACATCTTGACTGCGAAGACCTTCTCCAGCCAATCCGATAAGTAAAGTCGACCTATTTGTAAAGATAAAGGGGATTGGTATCAGTATAATACATAAAGACTGATGTAATCTCTTTTATTCTCGTCCGAGTGACAAACGGCCGTATACAGATGTGTTGTTCGTCCGTCAATGTGACGATGACCGCTTTGTCATCCATCTGTGGTTTCATGGGCCGTTTCATGTGTCCTCATGCGGCTGTAGATATCTATGCGATTGAATGCAATCGTAAAGACAAATTAAAACCTGCATTTAATCATTAAGACATACACGTAAGATGGTCTCCATCTTAGTCAGAATCACAGACACCCCGATTCTCAGTTAGACCCTGGTCTGGGGGTCTGAAGGGTGTCTATGGGAACATTTCCCTGGGGACCTATACTATACTGTTTATGCTTTTCTTAAAAAAAAAACAACTTCAAAACGTTTTAAACGTGGTCATTGAATTCTGACAAGATACCAACCCATATATGTCCTTCGTTCGTCAAAGATGCACTGCGTTAGTTATGACTTATAACACAGAGATTTAGCCAATACTAACTTATGTAAATACGATATCATATTCTATTTAGAGAAATAATGTTTATATTTAGCGAAACAACTTCTATCATCCAGGGAATCAAATTCTGTCATGTACCGAATCGACTGTAGCGAACTGACAATGTAGCGAAACAACTGGTTACATGAAGCCTCATTGTGGCAATGAAACCGTTAACTATAAAGGCCCGGTCACACTGGGCGAACTTTGCTGGAGCGTTCCTTGAACGGTGAATAAAATTCATCACCGCTCGAAACCGCTCACCACCGCTAAGTTGGCCCCCGTTAAAGCAACGCCGTGTACGCCCGGCCACCGCTGATGTTTCTGGAGGGGCCCTCCTACCGCTCCGAAAGTTTTGAGCTGCACAAAATATTGCGAGCGGTGAGGTGGGGGCAATTTTCCGCTCCGGCAAAGTTCACCCCCGCTCCACCAACGCCCAGTCAAAGTTTGGCATCGCTAGACGCAAGTTCGTGGACGCTTGGGTCCGCTAGGCCAACGCAGAAATCTTGAACGCTGGACCACCGCTGCTTCCCCAGCGTTGCCAGGGCGGCGATTAAACGTTGCACAAACGTTGCACAAACTTTGCTGGAGCGGTTGCAAGCGTTTTACGAACGGACACGGGGTTGCTGGAACGGTGTCGGGCGTTGAAGCAGCGATCCATACCGGCAATGAACTTTGGTTTGGCGTTGGTATAGAGGTGTCGGAGCGGGACCAGAATTTGGCTATAAATAGAAATGGACCAGGTGCTCATTTGGAATCGAGCTGCCTCATCTATATCGAATTTGTTGGAAGTTACAGCAAAACTGTATCACCATGGATGCTGAAAGACTTGCTATGATTGGTGCACTAGTGTGCAATTATTTTGGGGCCACACGTAAAATGTTCTTAGAAGGGTCACACGGACAATCACTTTATTGGGGTCACAGGGGAACTTTGCAATCTGCAAAGTTTTATTTTCATTATTGAGTAAATAACGTAGTCAAGAATAGATGAACAAAATGATGTTTATTAAAGCTAAAGTCCCCCCACACACAGAACAGAACTTGTACTACTACAAAACAATCCGTAGTCGACACACATCACAAGCGGTATGGTGCTAAACCGCATGCGCAGAACGCCGCTATACCAACGCTCGCGTCACCGCTATAGCAATGCTCGCTACGCTAAACCAACGCTAAAGCAACGCCGGATTCAGCGGTGCACCGCTAAGCCAACGTTTTAATTTTTTCCCCCGCATTTTGGGCGCGGTGACGAGCGTTGTCGAAATTCGGCCCCCGTCCCTACCGTTAAAGGAGTACTAACCTCCAGAAGGAAGTGCTATTTTCCGATACATAATGCTGCAATGAATACATAACTAGCCGACTTTTTACATAATTTCGCTTGTACGACTTGCGCGGCGCATGTTTGTAAAGTGATATTAATATCATTTTCCCCCATGCTGAACCACAATTGATACATCCGGGAATTCTGGCTTACGCAATACTCTCATACACTTCAGGTCGGCGAAAATGGTAGGAGACAAGCACACTAACAAGCTGATTATTGAGAAATTACTTTCTTTACTTTGCTTGACCTGTGGCTTGGATATTATAATATCAGGATGTCGAATACAGTGGGGGCCAGTTTCATCCTGTATGTTTTGATTTTCTCAACTTATTTGCATGTAAGTATCACTTGAACAGATAATTAGATTACGCCACTTATGGAATGGATAACTAGATTACGCCGTTTTTTTCATCATCAATATTTGCGGCATAAATGAGGGGCGATAAGGACACCAAGAAGGGCAATGGTTGGTAAGATACCAAAGAACACAAAACGGTACGAATTTTTCTTATCGCCCCCGAAATGAGGTCTGTAACGTAACTTTTTGTTTAAAACATAGACACCAATGGGGTAGCGTGGTGTATTCTGGGATAGTTTTGAGGGTATTAGAAGAGTTTGTCCTGGATTCGATGCGTTGTAAGACTTGCGCGCAAAAAGGGCATTTAATTGTATACTGTAAAATAATATGCATTTTTGAATTCCAAAAATAAATGCCTGTCAAAATATAGCACCTCCTTCTGGAGGTTAGTACTCCTTTAAAGGAACGCTCCAGCAAAGTTCGCCCAGTGTGACCGGGCCTTAACTAAAGTCACACCCACCACATTTTGTTCTGCTTTCCATGATATGGTAGCTCCTCGGAAATGAGAGCTCTGGGCCACGCCGACCAGAAGGGCGACGATGCACAGAACTTTCAGCATCTTTCCTCCTTCTGTGTGAAGTAAAGAGGATTTGTATTAACATACGTTAGTGAATATTACTCTGTTCGTCAGTTCGATATGTCTTCGTTACACATATTGCCAGGCTATGTCTGATATCAACAGTACTACTTATGATGAAAATATTTTGTAACTTAAGGGTACGGAAGTATTGTTTTGGGTGCGCCATACTGGTGGGTTTGTATGTTTGTTTGTCCAAACAGAGCAGGTTGACATCACGTGGGGTGGGGGAAGAATGGCCGGCAGAATGACGGGAGGTCAAAAGGTCAGAACGTCCTATCAAGGAATGCAGCGGATTTGTGAAATTTGAGTCATAACTCTAGCTCAATAAGTTTGTCGAAACTGTAGCTATTGTCAGCGCAGTACAAGCATAAACACGATCGAGTTTGGCCGGTGTATTTTACAGACTTACGCTTTCACACGTTAATTAATTTACTTTTCGCAATTTATCACACGTACAGCACGTACCTAGAAAGGGAAACAATAAAAACAGAAGTGCAAAACCATGCTATCAGACATGTATGTACATGTGAGCACGTAGCCATGCTCCCACAGAAAACCCGTTGTACTTGTACAGCGAACACAAAGACAGTAACGTGTCAGACCGAATTAAGTTATTTGTTTACGTGTCGGGCTGTCAAAGTTATTTGCGATCTTTATCGCACATCGAGCACGTTCTGTAAATGTCACAACTTAGGTGTATAAACATTTTCCTGTCTCTACGCCAAATTCTCCTGAGATATGGTCACACAAAATGAAGACAAGCCGATAACACCCCCTTGTTTACGGTGTCAATTATACCCAGTCACCCAGTCACAAAGTGCTGTTAGCAGGATTAGCCGACTAGTCTTCGAGCTCTGAATGACAGAAAACGCCCGAGGCCCCGTCCAATGTGAAAGAGTATGTGTGCGGGTGAAAAAGGCGCTTGACTTCTGGTTGTCAATAAAATACGGCCGAAGCGCGTCGACTGTATGCCGCCTTTTTTGGGGGTGTGTGGATGACTTTGCGCTGGCAGAAAGACGATCACGGGTATCAATAACTAAGTGCAACGCATCAGTTGTCATGGCAACCTTTTAGTCACCTGGGCACCACAGAGAAAGAAATACACCAAGTTTTCTGTTAGAAGTACGTGGCGGACGTACTTCTAACAGAAAACTTCTAACTTTGAGTCAGAAATTAGGCACAAAGAAATGATTTGGCACAATTAAGAAAATGATTTGGCGGTGGCAGTGGTAGTACATGACTGGACGCACGTATTCAATGCTTAGTGAACCATCAAAATGCTTACCCTTTCTCAACAGATCTAGATAGCTTTGTCATGGCAAAGGTATTTGCGTGACGACCAACTTGGAGCGATAAGTGCCAGGTGGTTAGTGTCAGGTGTCTCACTTGGATCAGGTCCTGACTTGTCTTTCTTTGTCAACGTCTTTCGCACAAGGAAGTTGATTATGCGAGGGCATTCAAGCTGGTACGTTACGGCGAAGGGCGGTTATACCGGCTATACCGATACAGATACATTAAGTTTTCTTCGTCCCCGAGCAGTCAAGTTTTCACATACTACAAGTGTATATTCGCACTGCTTCTCATTGTTCGCTTGCAAAAATTAAGCATTTGAAGTCTGTTCTCGCTCTGAATAACACTTTTGTAGAGGTATCTATTGTGAAAGGAGTTACTAGAGGGTTCTTTCAGCGTGACAAGTTTTTTAAGTGACAAGTTTTTTTTCAGCAGTGACAAGTTCTTTAAAGCTTGTCACTGCTGAAAGAATCCTCTAGTAACTGTATCTATACGTGACAAATGAATCTCTTCAACTATTATGAAAGGAATTTTGAAGGAAAGCGGGTAGTTAATTTAGTGTGATAACATTTTTCGCCAGGACATTTCTCCTAAGTGTGAACTATCATATGGTTAGATGGACATATACAACTTGATTAGACCGGTTCCAAGAAAAGCAAGAAACGTGACTTATGTATTAGCCTTATGGATTCGATGTCAGTCGGAGTATAAACAGAAGAGTAATGCATGTCCGAAAATGACCGGAGGAGACTTTTTATGTCGCCACAAACACAAAGGGCGAATACAGGACAGGGCACTAAGTAAGTTGGGTAAAGTGCCTTTTTCAAGGGCACAGGATCGGTGGCATGTCGGGACTCGAACCCGGGACCTCTTGCATTGGTTCAGAATCGAGCACTCTGCAGTTACACCACACTACCCCACAAAGAGAGGAGACGTTGTGATGGCCCGGTACGCCTGTAAAGGAGGCTAGCTAAAACCGCTAACCGACCAAAGATTTGACAGTTCGCTTAACGAATTTTATAGATATGGAAATAACGAATTCAAACGTTTTGTGAAATAGTCAAATGTTCGACCAGATCAAAATACAACATGTGGTGGAACTTTACTCACAGATAATTTATGCATGAATGCGCAAGAGACTGAATGTTACGGCCTGCCTGGGGAATGGACTTCTGTCTTTGCCTCAACTTAGCCAGGAACGCCAAAAAACTAACGGTTTTGGCATAGACCTGGGCTACTTGATATTCGGCGTAACCAAATTGGTGTATAACGCTGAAGGGTGGTTATAACGACTGATACAATACAGGTATCACACAAACCTGGTGTATATGTCTGCAAAATCCATGATGACAGTAACTGACTATGATATGATCATATACCGATCATGGAGCGCCTTTTATATAGTTGACATCATTTTGGCACGATCATATTCGTCGTAGATCGTGCGATTTTATTGTCGTAAGATCAATTTTCAAGCAGGCTGTGGTAGAACCGTGACCACCGACAAAGATCTAAGACTGACTTTCAGGTAAGAATACAGCTGGATTGTGAAGAACGCATGCAAGACTGACCCAGGACTGTCCTCAGTTTATATGATCGTACGATGATCGTACGGCAAATATGACTGGACCCTTAAATGAGGGTCTGCATGGGGGGGGGGTAGTGATTACGATTACGAATGACGTTAAAGTTTCAGAGCTGACTACGACTTAACAATTTGCGGCTAATATCCTAATACGAATTACGTTGATTTTTGCGGAGGTCGCCTACGAATTACGAAGTCTAAAAAGGCCTGATTACGCCTTACGAAAAAGGGCACCTTAAGGCCCTCTTAAATGTAGTGTGGCACGAAACTCGGTGGTCTAATGATTTGCGACGCTCAGCAACTGATATCTAATCTTATCTTCTTGGTAGAGGCTACCTAGTTTCCAGTCTCACTTAGACTAGATTTGATTCAACTCCACTGCATTCAAGTCGACTAAATATATTATGAAGTAGGCTAGCAGGTGGAAATCATTATGATCAATTATAGTCATCAATTATGCCCACAGTATAACGTATAAGTAAAATCAACCTGTGAAGTTGCAATCCAGAAGCCCGATTCTTTCTAAATTTCATTCCTTGGTTTCAAACAAGTGTTGGAAAGCGTTAGAACGCAGCGTAAAATCCGTACAACGTGATATAACATCTACAGATACACAATACAGAGTAGACCTCGTCAATTCCTACAATAGAACAAGACAACAACAGAGAAAAATAGATACCCAGTACAGTAGTTCAGCAGTGCTGTTCCAATCTCTCAAACGTTGCAGTGAAGAGATGTAATTTCGTCTCCTAACTTTTAAACCCTGTCTTACCAAAAAGAAACCCGAAGCTGAATGCTCATGAGTTTCACTGGCTGCGTCGCTCACGTAACTCAAGTTTGTAGTTTAAACTCGGACACACCTGATGAAGTTAACACAAAGAACTACAAGTTTACCCGCATGCGCACACGAAAGGAATTCCACACAGTTTCTGTTCAATATTTGTACATGGCGGCAGCTGCAAACAAAATTGGAGTTCCGAAACCTCCACCTTCTCTTCTTTTGTCATAATCATAGCAGGTGAAGCATGATCATGATGTCTTTTCAAATAGTCGTGCAGTGTTGATTCCGTACGGCTTTTAGTCATTCGGTACGGCTTTTAGTCAAGCTCACCGGTTCACGCCTTTTCTTCTCGATAAGTGTGTTGATGCAAGATACATGTAGAAACAAGATGACTTTATTTGGAGTCGCGCAGTGCTTCCACTGAATTAAAACCAAATTTACAATCAAAACAGAAATGGATCATACTGGTTACTTAGTGAAATAATAGTCTGAACAATCATCGTTATAACTTAAACTGACGTAAAATAACATTTACATTGGCTGGACCATGGACTTCATCGGCACAAACATTATGGCTTAAACTGACGTGAAATAACATTTACACTGGTAGGACAGACAGAAGTTAACATGGAGATTCAGAACACATTCACTGTGGATCCATTCACAGCTTCTCGAGCTATGCTGTCCACAAACAAAAACATACTGACCAGTAAACGACAAAACATAACCTTCTTCGCACAGGTAACAATGAAAGAATAGTCAGTCCGTCTTCTGTCGAGTGTCTAATGATATAAAATCATGTGTATCGCAGCACTACTAAAATTATAACTTGCCGGCTGACACTGCCCTCAGCAACAACTTAGAGGGCTTTAAGTCCAAATTGTAAACCCCTGAAACCCCCACTTCCTCAGTACACATTACCCCCCCCCCCCCCCCCTTTCGCAGTATACCCGACACAACAGTTACCCGACACAGCGACATAATCTTCGGCAAGTCGAAGGCGGTCGTCTATGGAAAGAAGGAGGTACAGAAAGACCAAAGAAACGAGAAATTCTGGAATTCAAAGAAAGCTGGCCGGTGACCAGAGGATGTGAATAGCTAGTTGGGTGGCGTGAGTGTCAAACAATATTGATCACCTTGGTAACATGAATTAGGATGATGCTAATAAGACCGGACCTAGATGCACAAATCTAATGTATTATGAACTCTACCTAACGAAAAATAGGCATTTTATAATAGTTTGTTGGCGGTTACGTGCAGTAAAGAATTGCGCCTTGATTCATTCAGCTAGTACTAGTATTTCCATCCTGACATCTGCTTGATTTTCATACATATGGCAATGTAATCCGACACCCAGTCAGTCTGGCTGACGCGTATGGTTTTTATTCACCCAACCATCGAACGAGCTAACGACTTCGAACGTGATCTCCGGCAAAAATATGGCATCATAGCGCCGGTGGAGGAGTTTGTGGCGGAGGCTGTACCGACGTTTGCAGACGGTAAATGTTTTCGCGCCAGAATGGTTTTCACGATTTGCTCCGTTGCGCGGAAGTTACTGTCGGTATTCGTTTAGCGTTAGTAACCACATGGGAATGTAGCAACGAAAGTGTGTCTTTTGACGGCCAAAGGCCCGTGATCGGTAACTGTTGCCTTCTGTATTTCGGTATTTTTTCATTGTATTAAAGCTGACATTCGAATTCCTCACCGTCGAATTCATTTCACAACTGTAAGTATACACGTATCACGCGATGCTATTCTACTGTGCTACTTAAACACCTGTCGTACTCTTTGTTCTAACCATCGTTTTAATTGAGGAGCCATGGTGCCGATTCGTTTTAAGTACGTGGAAGAAATGCATTAAAATTCGGAAATGTTGCACAATACATACCCTGAAGCACGCCCCGGTTTTGAGGATATTCCTGATTGCATGATCTAAAACTCCAGCTCACCATTTCCAGAAAAGTTCCCAGTTTAAGCCAGATCATGATGCGCGTTTAGAAAGGCTTGCCGCGTGATATCACAACAGTAATGCAGTACCGTGCTAACTCTGGCTTCGTAATACTCAGACGGAGAAGCAGTACTAGTACGTAACTGTTGCTCCGTTTGACAGTAACGAAGCTAGTACACTATTGTCTATGTTTTAGAGATGAAATCGCACATTTATAAGGCATGAATAGCAAAAAAGTAAATATTTCCTCGAAGCGATAGTGTGAAAAGATGATTTCCTCTAAACTGTTGATATCTGGTAGAATAGCAGATTCGGACAACTATATTTAATCTTAAAAGTACACAATCTTTAAAATCTCGTTTGCTCTGAACACACTGAAACCAATACGCAAAGTAGTGTAACATGTGAGATAAATACCTCAACTGAACAACGCAGCAACACACAGCAGTAGTACCGATCTGTACAGCTATGAAAAATAGCAGAAAAATTAGATAGTCCCCTACCTGCTGCCAAGCCACGCCGATGTACGGAGTGGTTCGAAAGAAATTGTCACCACTTAATTATGGGTTTCTACCCAAATCCTCCCGACACAGGAACGCGGAAACAACTGCGATTTCTTTCACTTTTGATTGGTTGAGGATATCGGCGCGCCACTCTTAGCTATCTGAATATTCATGATTCTTAAGCTTGGGTTTTAGGCATGCGCAAAGAGACTTGTGAAACACATACAGGTAATAGTCAGCAACATTTACCTAGGTAAACTAGTAAATGTTGCTGACGCTAGCACTGTCATTTCGCGGGGGTTTAGATGGCACTTGTTAGAACAAATGATTGAGAGGATTCCTTGTCAGAATGATCAAGGACATTATACACAGAAGGCCTTGTGTGTATAATGTCCTTGGAATGATGTACAAATATGAATTAGCATCTGGTTTGTCATAAACTAGTTTTAAGGGTCACTCAAGGAAGCTTTACAGCATGTCACAGACGTTAACTCGAGCATGACCAGAGGCCAGGTGAGCTAGGTCAACCATGGATGGATGCCCAAAGCAAACACTGGTCTTGCAAGAAGAGCCTTTTCTGAAAGCCCTTCGTTTCCTTGTTGTCTCTACAGTCTACGAGCGCAACGATTTAGTGGACTATTAAAGTGCTCTAATACAAAGTATTAGCCGACCACTAATGAATCCCAAACAAATCGTACATTCTTGGTTCGACTGTTGTACAATCCTACATTAAAAGTAGATAAACTATCATAGTGTATAGATAAATTATGTATGTAAGTATACAACCATATCTTAACGTACATTCCTTATCATTTATGACCAATATACTAATGCATTGACACTGCAGTCCGCAAATATTAAAGGACGCTTACGCGGTAGTAATGTTCTACTAGAAAGGATCGCAACAAAGTGACTAGAGTGTTGCAAAGCCATGGTACGTATACAGACGTATAATAAATCACCTGTCCCGAGATTGTACAAATGGACCACAACCATGTTACACGCCACTCAGGCAACCCCCTACCCTTCTCTCACTAACTAGAAGGGATGGCGGCGTTCTGACGGTGGCAGGAAAATGTAAAACTTTATTATTTTTCCTTTAGGCCATGTTGATTTGATTATATGGATGACATCCTCCGGGAGCCCCAAAACTGATGCGAGCGTGCGAATAAAAAAAAGTTTTGCAAAAAAAAAAAGGTTCTTTTCATTATGAAATCTACGTGGTCATGAGGGTTGAGCAAATGGCACAGAATATGGTTTGGCGAATAATCTAGTCTTCAAGTTCATTTCTTTACAATTTCGTCTTTTTTCGTTTGATTTTGGCATTCTACGACTTTGGTATAGTTTTTATTAATTTTTTTTGTAACTTATGGTATATTTTTGTTCATTTTGCAACTGTTTTGTACGATTTACAGTATGGTTGAAAACTTTCTTTTTTTTGGAAACGGCCGAAAATTCATGCGCGCGCGGATGTCATCCATAATCAAATCAACATGGCCTTAAAATGGCCAAAAGTACTTGTTGTCGCCAGGGGTCAATGATTACCGATTGGCAAGGATTAACTCCAGCAGGTGCACCAAAACATCCCCGCATATTTTCTGGCGGTTGTGGATTGGAGAAGAGATCTGTATGGTTGGTTATGTGTCAGACCCTGGTGTCAGACACAACACACACCTCCCTTTCTGAAAAAAGACACCCAACATCTGCTTGAAGCTTTGAGTCTGACGACACGTCACCACACCCGTCATCCCTTTCGCATCCAACATGGCTTCCACTGGCAAATGGGAAACGGTCGGCGCGAAGAAGAATAAAAAGTCCACCTCCAAATCGAATGGGAAGAAACCAGGAGCCCAGGGAACTGCTGAGAGAGGCCCGGTGATAGAACACGCAAGTAGGTTTGGTTTCCCACCCCCCAGGATAAGTATGCAACGTGCATATGTCTGGGAGAAAATAGACCAGCGGCCATGCCTACAATCCACATGTGTTCGAGAAACCACTGACATGACAACGTGTCGCTTTTCCTAGTAAATACGACGGAGGAAATTCTGGGGTCTGATGGTGGGGGATATTTCATAGTTTGTAAACCCACTGTGGACACATTTTTTTCAAAATTAATTTGATAACCCAAGGACCTTGGATAACCACAAAAATATTATATGATAGTGGAACTCCTATAACTCTCCATACGTAACGTTCGTCAAAGGGGTTGGTACGTTTTTAAAAGCCAATTTTATACAGTAGGTAATTGCGTAATCGGTTTGATGCTAAGGCAGGTATGATATAGAAATTATTTGAATTTAATAATATTTGTATACCACAACTTTCTGTAGAAGTCTGACTGAAAGTAATGTGTGGTTTTGTATATTAATATTTATGATTTTAAATTTGGTAACTTCACTCACGATCACGTTGCTCTTCTCCTTTGATTCCCAGAGCCTATCGAGACAGCCCAGACAATATGGAGCTCTGTGGCTGAGCTAGAGGGGGACGATGAGCATAAGGAAAATAAACAGGTTTGTGTAATTTGTAGATAGTAGCTGTTGTTACTACTTACTAGTAATAGTATGTAACTTACATCTTATAATTACAGCATGAACTACAAAAAAGCAAATGGAATGAAAACTTTATTATTTCAGGTTGGCTTAGTTGTGGGTTTGATGTATAATAACACTGTGTTCTACCAGATCCAGGCCAATAAGGACCAGGCTAAATCATCGAATGCCTCTCCAAAGAGCCCCAAGAAAACAGGAGCAGACAAGAAAAAGCAGCAAGGGAAGGACAAGAAAGCTGGCAGACGGGAGTTCAAGACTGTGGAAGATGCAATGAAGAAGGTCAGTATATACAGATGCACGACCAGTATGTAGAATGCACATACGTACTTGACCATGTAGAGCAGGGCTTGAAATTTATACAAGGCATGTCTCATACTCATGATACCTCAGGGTGTTCTAATCTAACATTATCCTTGCTTTGTCTGTTTTAATCCCAGCTTGATGCCAACGTCCTGAAAACAGTCGTGCAGGACACAAAGCTCAAGTTTCCTGATAATCCACAGGTACATGTACAACCTTTTCCTACATATATACATGTGCAGTTTAGACATTGTGCAGCATTACCTTCCTTTAGCAGGATGAGTATTGCAATTACAGAAATGAATGGCACTTTCCTGATAGTGATATTGCACTATTTTGTGGCATAAATGTTGAAAGTGTAAATACCAGCTTTGCTGAGGAAACTAGATTATTGAGAAGTACACCTGTACTAGTAGCAACATGTTGAAAATAGTTCTGAAGGTCGCTGTGTATGACTTTATTAATATTCATCCTGGTGTCTGATTAGGTGCTGTATGCATATAAATGTACATGCTATATACAACTATTACAGCATGTAGGGATTCACCTATGTGTGAAAGTTAAAGAAAAAACATTTAGCATAGTCAAGTCTTGTTTGTAACATTTCACATATACAGAAACATGCATAAGAACTTACAAACAACTAGAAAGGCCAACATTTGCTTCGGAGCAAATGTAATATTTCACTCCATCTCCCTCCCCATACAAAAATAGAAGATTCTGAATAAATCATACTGCAATCATACAAGGACAAGCTTTTTGAATCTCGACAGATATTTACAAAAATGGCACTTGGCCATTATCTCCCTTTTTTTTACAAAGATACAACGACAAGCACTTTAAATCTCGACAGCTTTACTTTACACTTATCTCAATTTCAAAGTTACATATTGCAGGTATCTAAATACTACTAATGACGAAATTGCAACTACTACTAACGGTAGCAAAATTTTCACGGTCTGAGAAACATGGACATGTTCACGGAACTATATATTCACGGTGGTGACAGTTGCAGGAAAAAGAAAGTCCAGGAATTATTTCCTAACTGTAAAGATAAGTTCACGGTACAGAGGTGACAGTGAAAACCGTGAACATTGACCTCCTGCTTGCGTTACGTTGCGGTACAGTGAAAAAAAATCGGGAATTACAGTAATCAATTTACAGAGTATGTTTGCTTAGTTTCCAGATGTTTTGTATGAATGTCGTAAACTTAGTTTTAAATTAACGAAAACCGATGCGCGCACAGATGCCATCCATACAATCAAATCAACATGGCCTTATTAACAATCACATAAACTATGAAGCCATACATTGAATAAGCTATACATATAATATGATTATCATAACCTTTATTTTTAAAATCATGCCAGTGAGCTAATTGCATGTACAGAGTGAAAGAAAGTAAAGTAAAGTAAAGCAGTAGAATTTCTGTACTAAGCTATGATAGTACTCCATATGATTCGTCCTCATCGTCATCATTCAATGTGGTCTATCTCTTGCTACTAGTGACTGGTAATACCTCTGTAGATTCTTCACACTGGCAGAGTACCGTACTCATTCTCTCTTGTCAGCTCCATACTTTTGTGACAACATCAAAGTGATTTTGGTTTGTATGTTGGAAAAATACAAAAGACTAACATTCTAAGTTATTGACATTCTTGAGTAAGAACAATCAGTTTTTGAATGTTAAAAGCAAAACAACGAAAATCCAAAAAAAAATGTTGAAATTGTTAAAATGCAGGATTGTTAAAATTGTTAAAACTGATAAAATTGTTAAAACTGATAAAATTGTTAAAAATGATAAAATTGTTTAAAATGTTAATATCCGATGCACTGGGGTTCGAACTCACAATTTCTGGGATTGCCGTCTGGCGCGTTACCAACCGAGCTAACTCGTTGCGATACACATCACTTACTGCATTGTATGTTATATAAAGTAAACAGCATGGCGGTATCGATCGCCTCAAGCCACCAAGACTTTCAACTATTAACTACGGGGTTTCCTTCTTTATCAGGTTTGCTTTTGAACCACCTTGATGTTACTTAACTATCAACCCGGCTAGCAGAAGCCGCCGGCTCCTTTGATATTACAGCCGCTCCCTGTCCAATCTTGTTTACACGCCGGGCGCAGGTCATTGACCTCCAACTTGCGTTGTTCCAACAGAGAAGAGCAAAATGTCTGGCTCCCGCAGAACGTACCGCACTCTCCCGCTGGACGTACCGCACTCTCCCGCAGAACGTATCGCACTCTCCCGGAGGACGTCCCGCACTCTCCCGAGGGAAGTCCCGCACAGCGTCCTGCACTCTCCCGCAGAACGTCCCTCGAAAATTGATGCGTATTTCGTGGCCTGTGCTGTACCTACCAAAACACTTGAGTTCATACTGTCAAAATGGAATGGCTTTGAACAGGTGTTAATTGAGTTAATCCAATCAAATCCAACAGCCAATCAGCAAGAAGAAAAGATTAGGCTGCGTCAGGTTCATGCTTGCATGCCCATATTTGGGCATGCCGCCGAATTTCTTTCTTATTACGTCACGCGCGTACGCCCCCGCACAGTACTTTCCTATGGGAACAGCTAAAAACGCAAATAAAACGATTGTAAAAGCTTGTATCAAAAAAAATAAAAAAAACGCCTAGGGGTATTTACCCACTCTACCTTTATACGAAATTCCAGGTCGTTTGGCCCAAAAATGAAGGAATTGAATCAATTTAAAGAAATGGCAGGAGGAGAAGAAGGAGGAGAATCATCAGTAAAAACAGTATTTCCCTCCATACTTAAGTATGGAGTGAAATAACTACATTTTGTAGAAGGCAGAAATATGTCTGTATCCCTCCCACAGTTCTGGCTGAATGACCTTGCATCTGTGCTGAATCTGAAGTTAGATGCTCCAGATTTGGATCCAACGTTCTACCAGCAGCCAGCAGGTAATGTTATCAGAATATCTGTATAT